TGCTGATGCAGAAGGGACATGTGATAGCATATGCATCGAGGCAGTTGAAGCCTCACGAGACGAGGTACCCCACACATGATTTGGAGTTGGGGGCAGTGGTGTTCGCCCTCAAGATTTGGCGGCACTACTTGTATGGGGTTCGTTGTACGATTTACACGGACCATAAGAGCTTGAAGTACTTGATGGATCAGCCTAACCTTAATATGCGGCAAAGGAGGTGGTTAGATGTGGTCAAGGATTATGATTGCGAGATCTTGTACCACCCGGGCAAGGCTAATGTGGTAGCCGACGCGTTGAGTCGCAGGGCGGAGAGTACTCCACTGCGAAATGTATGTTTGAGATTGACCGTGATAGCTCCAGTTCTGGACGCCATTCGTGGGGCACAGGCCGAGGCTGTGCGTCCGGAGATGCAGAAGAGAGAGCGGGTCGTTGGGTTGGTTTCTGAGTTTGTATCGGATAGTCGAGGGCTTATGACTTATCAGGGCCGGATCTGGGTACCGTTTGTGGGCGGTACGCGTACTACATTGATGGAGGAGGCTCATAGATCGAAATTCTCGATCCATCCCGGGGCTACAAAGATGTATTTGGACTTAAGAAAGGAGTATTGGTGGCCTTGTATGAAGAGGGATGTCGCATGGTTTGTCGAGAGGTGTTTGACCTGTCGAAGGGTAAAGGCCGAACACCAGAGACCGCATGGCAAGTTGCAGCCATTGGAGGTTCCCGAGTGGAAATGGGAACAGATCACTATGGATTTCATCACCAAATTGCCGAGGACTGCCAGAGGAGTCGATGCAATTTGGGTGATTGTGGATAGGTTGACAAAGAGCGCTCACTTTCTTGCCATCAGTGAGAGTTCTTCGGCGGAGAAGTTGGCGGAGATTTATGTGAGAGAGGTTGTATCTCGGCATGGAGTGCCGATCTCGATTGTTTCAGATCGCGATGTGCGTTTCACTTCCCGTTTCTGGAAGAAATTTCATGAGGAGTTGGGTACTAAGCTGCATTTTAGTACCGCATACCACCCCCAGACCGACGGCCAGAGTGAGCGGACGATTCAGACACTTGAGGACATGCTTCGAGCATGTGTATTGGACTTTGGGGGTAGTTGGGACACGTATTTGCCCTTGGCAGAGTTTTCCTACAATAACAGCCATCATTCGAGCATCGGTATGCCGCCCTTTGAGCTGTTGTATGGTAGGAGGTGTCGGACTCCCATATGTTGGGGAGAGGTTGGGCAAAGGGTAATGGGTAGTACAGAGATCGTGAATCAGACGACAGAGTAGATACAGCTGGTCATACAGCTGGTCAGACAGAGGTTATTGACCGCTCAGAGCCGACAAAAGAGTTATGCGGATAGGCGCCGGTCCGAGCTGGAATTTCAGGTCGGCGACTTCGTTCTCCTGAAGGTTTCTCCTTGGAAAGGAGTGATCCGGTTCAGGAAGAGGGGCAAATTGGGGCCCCGGTTTATAGGTCCGTTTCGTGTGATTGCAAGGGTAGGCCGGGTAGCCTATCGGCTGGAGTTACCAGCAGAGTTGGGGCAGATTCACAACACTTTTCATGTATCCCAGTTGAGGAAATGTATAGCCGATGAGTCGGCAGTGGTTCCATTAGAGGATATTCAGGTAGATGCAAGCCTGAATTATGCTGAGAGACCAGTGGCCATTAGGGATCGGAAGATCAAGATTTTGAGGAACAAGGAGGTACCTCTGGTATTGGTTCAGTGGCAACATCGGAGGGGATCAGAAATGACCTGGGAGCCGGAGAGTATGATGCGGGAGCAGCATCCGGAGCTGTTTTAGAGCGAGACTTCGAGGGCGAAGTCTAGTTCTAGTGGGGGAGAGTTGTAACATCCGGATTTTTACCAGGTATCTTGTAAATTTAATTTTGTTGAATTGTGAGGGGGACTCGGCGAGTTGGAGCTCAGACTCGCCGAGTAGGGACGCGGATTTGGGCAATGGAGCGCGCCTGGACTCGGCGAGTCCAGGATATGGACTCGGCGAGTCTGCGCTGTGTAATGAAACCCTAAATTTCCGGGTTTGAGGCCTATTTAAGGGCCTTATGGCCGTCATTTGTGCTCACCCAACCCTCAGTGAGAGACCCTTGTGTTCTTGAGCGATTTGTGAAGAGAAAGGAGCATTTCTTGACCTTGTGTGTGTTATTTAGCAAGAAGAAGGAGACTCTAGGCAAGAGGAAGCAAAGGAGGTTGCTATTTCGTGGATTTGGAGCTTAGATCATCACTCTAGAGGTATGATCTCGGACTATTTTCTGTTTGGTGAAGCATTATGCAATTTAGGGCTTATGATGGTCATTTATGGGATGATTTGGTGCCCATTGGTTCCCTCCTTGAGTTGAGGTTATGGATCTGGACCCATAGAGGTCCAGAGCCTCACTCATCAAGCTTTATGTATGACAATGGAGTCCATGACCTTGTGTTGTAGTAAATGAGTCAAAAACATCATATATGGTCATATAGAGGTTGTATGTGCATCAAGATTGTAACTTTACGTGCTAAATGAGCTTGGAAGGACTGGATCTATGGATTAATGGACTGGATCTGACCTTTAGAGCAAGATTGAGTCAGTGCATGGCACGGACTCGCCGAGTCCGAAGAACAGACTCGGCGAGTAGCATGAATGTTGCCCGACCACACAGTGAGTGGCCTCGCCGAGTTGGGGAGGGTGGACTCAGTGAGTCAAGGGGGAGTCAGAATGGACCGGTGGATTGAGTCAAACTGGACTCGCCGAGTTGTTTTGAGACTCGGCGAGTTGAGTCGTGGTGGCCCCACAACTCATGCCAGGTGGAACTCGTCGAGTTGAGTGAATGCTCGACGTGTCAAGGGAGGATTCCAGGGAAATTGGTGTACACGCCCAGACTCGCCGAGTCGCCTTGGTACTCGCCGAGTCCGGTCAGAGTTGACCGTTGACCGTTGACCAGAGTTGACCAGTGTTGACTCCTTATTGATAGTCAACCTTAGAGATATAAAGTGTTAATTAGAAGCATATAATGTTATAGGAGGATTAGAGCTCGGAGGATCGAGCACGAGGGATTTCCAGGATTCGTGAGATACCGAGATACGCGAGGTGAGTCTTCTCACTATACTTTACCTTGAGTAGGTAACCAGAGTTATGTGATAGAGTATTTGTATGCTATGTATGTTGTGTGTTGTACTGCATGATTTCTATGTGATTTATGTGGTGCATGTTTATCAGAGCTAGAACCTGAGGGTTCACAGAGTTTGGGTGCACGGACCCACAGAGTTATAGCCTAGAGTGGCTAATATGTGTTATATGTGGTATTTTGGGGAACTCACTAAGCCTTGTGCTTACAGTGTTGATGTTATTTGTTTCAGGTACTAGTGACGACCGCGGGAAGGCGCCGGCTTGATCCGTATACACACACGTTCGGAGCTTGATATTATGATCTTGGGATTTTGTACTGTTTTGTTGGATAATTAAAATGGTTGTTTTTATGAATATCGATGGAATTATGTTTTATAAAAATTGAAAAAAATTTTGTTTGGTAATTTTGATTGTTTGATGGTTGACTATAATAATTATATTATTGTGGGTTGAAAACCCTATATGCTCACCAGGCTCTCAAGCCTGACCCACTCAGTTTTCTTTGTATCACAAGTATTAATACGAA